AGACTGAAACAGCTGTTAGCTGACGCCGATTGGACTACTGTATACGAAGCTATAAATGCTTCAATAGCGTTTGAGAATTTTTTTGTTTTGTTACAGAGTTTTTTAGATCAAAGTAAAGTCTAAATAAATTCAAACAAACAAGTTTTTAATAAAATAAAACCTTGGATGAATGATTTTATATGTTCTAAGATCAAAAAAAGAAATCATATTTTTAAGCTTATGAAGCGTCATCCAAACAATGAAAATCTAAAAAGATTTTACAAAAAATATAGGAATTCTCTTCAAAATAAAATAAGGAATTTAAAAGAGGATTACTACAAAAAAAGGTTTGAAAAATGCAGTGGTAATTCGAGGGAAACGTGGAAAATAGTAAATGAGTTAACAGGTCAGTCAAAGAAAAAAGATGACGCTCTTAGATTAGAAATAAATGGTGTACTGACTGAGGATTCATTGGCAGTTGCGAATGAATTTAATAACTATTTTTTAGAAATTGTTGAAAATCTGAAAATGAACGATCATACATCTCAGGTTGATCTACGTTTATTAGAGTATAGAAACAAGCTCCCCAGTTCTTTTCAAGTCAAAACAATGTTCATTGATCCTGTTTTCCCTGCAGATCTTTTAGCTGTAATTAACACATTAAAAAATAATACATCTCCTGGAATTGATGGCATAAATGCAAGCTTGATAAAGGAAATTTTTCCGGAAATTACGAATGTTATTTTATTTGTCATTAATTTTAGTTTAACAACTGGAGTTTTTTCAACAAATTTAAAAAATGCAGTAATAATACCAATTTTTAAGAGTGGAGTAAAGTCGAAATGTAGTAACTATCGTCTGATATCTCTGTTGTCATGTTTCTCAAAGATATATGAAAAAATTATGAAGAACAAATTATTAGTATTTTTAGATAAAACAAATTTTTTTAGTGGAAATCAATTTGGATTTAGAGCTGCTATGAACACTGAACATGCTTTGCTAAATTTTATGACAAATGTTAATAAGGTGTAAATGAGGGGAAAAAAGTGAGTGGGCTTTTCCTCGACATAAAAAAAGCGTTTGACACAGTTGACCACACCATTCTGCTGGACAAGCTGTTTAATATTGGTATTAGAGGTGTTTCCCATGAGTGGTTTAAAAGTTATCTTTCTGACAGGAAACAATGTGTTCGAATTAATTCTATTCTTAGTGAAATGGGAACTATTAAGAGGGGGGGGGGGCTCAAGGATCTGTATTAGGAGCAACATTATTTATTATATTTATTAATGATCTTTGTGAAGGTAAATTTAATGGTAAGCTAACCTCTTTTGCTGATGATACAGCTTTATGTTACTCTGAACGTGATTGGCAGTCAGTTCAACATGCGATGAATGGAGACCTTGAGGCACTGAAATGGTGGTTCACTGTCAATCGTCTTTTACTGAGTGCTGAGAAATCCAAATACATTAATTTTAGCCTCATAAAACCCTTTAATTTTACAGATCCTATTAAATTTAAATGTACACTTTGCTTGAGTAGACAGACAACCTGCGTGTTAAACTGTGCTACTGTAGATCAGACTGATAGTATTAAGTATTTGGGACTTCATGTAGAGATGCAGAACTTTGCTGGAAAATTCATATCAAAAAGCTCAAAGATAAAGTCAACAATTCAATAAGATATTTTTATTTTTTAAGAAATCTAAATAATAATCAAATTTTGCGTATGTTATATTTTGCTTTGATTCAAAGTAGGCTAGAATACGGCTTGGTTTTCTGGGGTAATACTTATGACTCTTATACAAAACCATTATTTATTCAACAGAAACATGCTTTGAGATTAATTTCATATAAAAAATAGATTTGAACCTTCAAAACCTCTTTTCAATCAGCACAAAATCTTTCCTTTAAAATATTTGTATGTTTTTAAAGCTTTGAATCTCTTTTGTTCAGTTTACAAGAAAATACCCAGGAATGAAAATGAATATATACTTAAGCTCAGAAATCCTAACCAGTTTTTAGTTTCCAAGCCCAACAACACCTTTTTTACAAAAACATTTGGTTTTATAGTGCTAAAGTTTTTCAAGAAACTCCCTGAAAATGTACAAATGTTAATAATCAACAAAAAAGTGTTTTTAAATAAGGTAAAGAAATGGCTTTCACAATTGGAAGATATTGATGAATTATTTATATTATTAAATTATAATCTTAAATGAGAATCTTATTTTGTATTTTTAGCAGTTAAGGACGCACTTTGGCGGGCTATGCCACTCAGGGTCTATACATTGTATGTAGTGTGCTATGACGGCCCTTGGGTTGGGGCTATCAGCCGCCTGGTGGCACTAGTGCAGTGTGTGGTTTCGAGTTATCAAACCAGAGATAACAAACATGATAGATAAGAATCAAACATATGTGGCAGGTGTTTTGAATAATCATTTGTCTTTCTCATTTATTGTTTTTATTTTAGGTTTAGATTTTGAATGAGACCATTGTGTTTTTTACTAGTATTGTTTTTATATCTATCTGATCGCTCTGTGTATACATTAAATTTGTAAGTAAAGGAACCTCAACCACAGGCTTTGCCTAATGAGGCCCTAATTATTTTCTCAGATTCAAATTTTAAAGGTCACTTTTATTGTACATACAGTATGGTTGTTTTTGTGCTTTAGATCACTGTAACTTGTCTTTTGTCAGCCTGGTGAGAACAACGGACTTTTTATTTCATTTCAAGTCTGTTTTTATAATAACCAAGTTGTTTTTTTGTTTTACTTCAAGTGAAAATTAATGTACAATAATTGTGAAAGATGTACAATGTATTGTAAGTTCTTTGAGAAAATAAATATATATTCTATTCTATTCTATTATAGTTGCAGCGCATGCTGAAAGCAGTCACGTATCACTAAAACTACCATATCTCAGTTAATACTTGTCCAATCTTCAAAATTAAGGTATCAATCGATTTGTAATAAAATTGCCTTAAAAAAGTTATCCTTGTAAAATCTTTGTAAAATCAACGGTTTTCGAGTTATTTAAGAAACAAAATTTAAAATGGCCGCCATTTTGTTTTATGAATTTCAAAAATCGTCATAATTTTTTTGGTAGCTTTGTCTAGTTGTCATAAATGTTTGTGCAAAGTTTTAATTTCATATGTTTCATAGAAAAAAATTAATAACTTAAAAAAACAAAATGGCGGCTGTGTGAGTAACTAAGGACTCCCGGACAATTTAAATATGATATTTAGGTATGTTAACTACCCAGGAACAATGCCCTAAAATATTGGTAGAGAGTTCCGGGACACCCTGTATATATAAAGCTTAACTGTTCTTCTGTTGTTAAGTTAGTGTTAAGTTAAATAATTTTTATCACTTTGACTTTTTAAATGTTAGGGATTATACTCTCACTGAATTTAAAGTGTTGATGCTGCCATGTCCCAATAGAGAAGGAGGAAAATTTCAATTTCACACAGGAACAGGATGATCAACGTTCATTGTTAAAGCCAGCTGTCTTCTTTCTTCATCACTTGCACATGCACTAATAATCAGGCTTTTGGATATATTCAAAGTTGGGGTTTTAGAAATAATTTATACTATATTAATAATGTTGGATAAAAGTGTTATTGCAACTATGGACTTAATTACAGGTTACAGTTTTTTATCAACAATAATATTTGTTGAATATATACAATATATTTTAAAATGTGATGATGGTTTCTGAGGGGTGATTAAAGGATAATATAATTTAAATTTACTATACATTTTCTGACAATTTCATTTATATAGGCTATATGGCAAATTTTGATACAATAAAAGGAGTAAATTTATATAACTAAAAGAATGAATGTAGTGAATGGTCTATAAATGACATGTAACATTGCAAAGTCAATGTTTTTGAAACTGGTCTTTATCTTGGAAGGAAGGGTAGTAGGATCTAAACAAAAAAAAACATGAATGACGCACCAGCCAGGCCCTGGGGCACTCAAGGTCATATACCCTTCCCCTCCCCTCTTACACCACCGGTTGCTTCAATTGCTGACAAAATGCAAGTGACGAAACAAGGAAGTAGAGACAAAAAATATATTTCTTTATTCAAAAACATAAAACTGTTAAGATCATTTTCAAAGAAATTAATTCTTTGCAGTTTGTGTGTTGTAAATATTTTATTGGATCTTAGAAATATATTTTTTGAAACCCCATCTAACTTAAGAAAAAAGTCATTTTACTGATGATAACTTTCATAAAATTATAAAACATTTAGGCCTTACCTCTTTGTTGACTTACTTGCTGATGCCGAACCAGACGATCACTAGTGTTGTTACTGAATGACAAAAAGGCCAATAAGAAAATAAAAGAACAAGATACAGATCTGTACACTAAATCAGATATTTCTTTTGTTTATGATTTATTATGTAAAATACTAAAATATATTTTTAATTAGGTATGGAATAAACAATAAATAATTAAACTAGTACCTCTGGATAAATAGTCTTTCTTTTTACTTTGTTTTCTATGCACTGTTGCATCACGGCTTTTGTCTTGTCAGTAGACGACTGGCTCTGGCTAGTGGCAGTGCGGCAATTGCTCTGTTGTGTCTTTATTCTTAAAGGTCGTGAGCAAACTTATATTTAATTCTCATTTGAACATGTTAATTCCTCTGTAATAATAGATATAATACAAGAGTGTTTCTTTGGAAATAAAAATTTTTTTGGCCCGAACAAATCTCTGACCCGACCCGGTCTCTCGGGCCTTTTGCTGGGCCGACCCGACCCAAAAAATTTGGGGACCCGCAGACCCCTATAACAGCCTAGAGGGGGTTTTGTGTTGTCAAAATGTCAGTTCAAATATTTTTAATGAAGCATGTTAAAGTTTCAGGATCTTAAGTACAAGCTTTCAACAATCTTCTATCAGATAAACTCGATTCTAGCCAAGCATGTGAGTTGTCATGTTGTTCAACCATTGTACATTAGTAGTATTATTATTACTACTACTCACAATTTCAATAAAACTTTTATTTCCTTTGTTTTAGATTAAACGTGCTACAGATGAGCTTGAAGACAATACAGAAAAATGCACTATATGTCTTTCAGAGTTTGAAGACTCAGAAGATGTTAGGTATGCTCCACAGTTTTATTGTTAAACGTGCTGTATGTCTAGCCTATATTTTTAATTTTCTGAAGTTGTTATTTTGAATGATATTCATTTTTAAATACAGGGAAACGGAAAATTTTGAAATAATCATAATAAACCAAGAAAATTGTACAAAACAATCTTTGCTGCTGAAAATGTGTTGGTCAAGAGTAGAAAATACATGAGAAATGTTGTGGAAATAAGAATAAAGTTAAAAATCACTTTTTTTTAATCCCATCAGTTAAGTGCTGCCCATTGGGCCTAACACATTCGTTCAATCGATTTTGAAGACAGCTTTGTACGACGCAATGTGTCCTCTGGGATGTTGGTGTTGTGCTCTTCGATCTGAGTCTTGAGCTCAATAAGATTTCTTGGCCTAGTCTGGTACACAACGCTCTTTAGATGTCCCCATAGAAAGAAGTCGCATACTGAGAGACGTCTGGAGACCGTGGGGGCCAAGCGATGTCAACATTCCCTGAAATTATGCACTCCCCAAACAAACGTCTCAATCTCAATGCAGCCATTGATAGCTGAAAGTGTGTGAGGTGGCTCTGTCCTGTTAAAACCAGGTTTGCTGGATTTCAAGATCTGGAAAAGCATATATTAAACCACTCTCTTGTTAAACCTTGTAACTATTTAATGCTATGGAACATCGTAGAACCCAACTTTTAACTTTTAGGCCCCAACTTTTAGGTTTATTATTTGAAACAGCTGTCAAAATGCATAGATTCTTTTTAAATATGAATTCGCATAAGGTAAATATGGGAAATTCCTGAGCCACTGGGGCAGAGCTCCAAGAGAGTTCAAGAAAGGGAATGGGACAGAAACCTTTCCAGGAGTATATAGAACAACTTCTAAAAGTTTCATCACAATCGGATGGCTGGTTTCGTAACGCATACAGGACAAAAAAATAAATGAAAAATAACAACAAACATACATTGGATTTTTTATACAGGGTGGCTGAAAAGTAACTTGCACCCCCCTTAACTTTTTAACCATTTGAGATATTTGAAATCAGTTTGCGGCAACCTTCTTAGATATGAGGGGCTACAATAATAATTATGGTCAATTTTGAAAATTTTGCCCTTAGGGGTAGTTAGTGGTGGTAGGGGGTAGCTCAACATTTTCAAACGACAAATATAGTCGAGTTTTGTATCATTTTACAGGTCTTGACAAGACATAATCATTGACATAAAGAAAACCAAAATCGGCCCACTAAACAAAATGGCGCCCTAAAACATTTCAAATCCAAATAACCATGAGGGTATCTTGTACCCCCTTTAACTTTTTAGCTATTTGAGATATTTAAAATCGGTTTGCAACAACTTGTTTGAATATAAAGGGCTACAATAATTATGGACAGTTTTGAAAATTTTGCCCTTAGGGGTAGTTAGTGGTGGTAGGGGGTAGCTCAAAATTTTCAAATAGCAAGTATAGTCGAGTTTGGTATCATTTTGCAGGTCTTGACGAAACATAACAATTACCATATTGAAAATATAAATCAGAACATTTTAAAACAATGGTTATTAAAAGCAATTTATAACTTGCCATTTTTTTATTAAATGGTCCTTTTTCTATTTTGTATATGTTAATTGTTATGTTTCATCAAGACCTGCAAAATGATACCAAACTCGACTATGCTTGACGTTTGACAATTTTGAGCTACCCCCTTCCTACCACCACTACCCCTAAGGGCAAAATTTTCAAAATTGACCATAATTATTGTAGCCCCTCATATCTAAGAAGGTTGCCGCAAACCAATTTAAAATATCTCAAATAGTTAAAAAGTTAAAGGGGGTGCAACTTAATTTTCAGCCACTCTCATGGTAATTTGGATTTGAAATGTTTTAGGGCGCCATTTTGTTAATAGTGGGCCGATTTTGGTTTTCTTTATGGCAATTGTTATGTTTCGTCAAGACCTGTAAAATGATACCAAACTCGACTATACTTGCTATTTGAAAATTTTGAGCTACCCCCACCCCCACTACCCTTAAGGGCAAAATTTTCAAATGATGACGTTTCAGTGACTGCGAGAGTCAATGATGATATTTACACGGGAGCGGAAGATGATTTAGCCACTATTGCGATCACGGATGACGGCGATGACATTACCGCGGTCCTGGGAAACGACGATGACGCTTACATGGAAGCAAGAGATGTTCATGATTTTTCCACAATCGTGGACGACGACAAAGACGTTTCCGTGACCGCGGGAGTTCATGATGTCGTCTACACAGACGCAGGAGATGTTCATGATTTTGCCGCGATCGCGATAGACTATGATGATGTTTACACAGCAGCAGAAGATAATTTTGCCGCTATCGCAATCTCGAATGACGGCGATGACGTTACCGCGATCCCGGGAGACGACGATGACGCCTACATGGCCGCAATAGATGTTCATGATTTTGCGGAGATGCTGGATAAACAGTGGACCAAGACGTTTTCGTGACAACGGGAGTTCATTGTGTTTTCTACACGGCCATGGGAGATGTTCATGATTTTACCGCGACTGCGGGAGACGATGATGACGTCTACACGATGACGTTTCCGTGACTGCGGGAGTCAACGATGATGTTTACAAGGCCATGGAAGATGATTTTGCTGCGATCGCGGACGACAATGATGACTTTATTGCGATACCAGGAGGCGACGATGACGCAAAATTGTGCACAAGATAGCGGTAGCGGTCGGTCAACAGTGAAAAGAATGGGGGACACAGTCTTGCCAACTGTCTCTAGCTCACAGTAAACAAATACAGTTGAACCTCTATAAGACAAATTTCAAGGTGTACGGGAAAAATTTGTACTATAGAGGTATACTTAATAAAGAGAGTCGTTTTATCGAGGTTTAATGCTGCTGTTATTCTTCTTATAGAGGTTTCTCCTCGCTCCAAGGTTTCTCCAAACAATGACTGAGGAAGGAGGAGGGATGGGCGGGGGTTTCATGTTGAGACAAGCTTCTGTTTGTTTTGAAAACTTCGTACTGTGGAGGTTAAGATTATGATAAATTCGTCTTATAGAGATCACGTTCGTCTTGTAGAGGTTTTGTGCTAAGAATATTCGTTGTATAGAGGTAAATCAGTCCTAGCCCATGTCACAAACAAATTCGTCTTATGGAGGTTTTTAACTTAATTACGCTGATAGGCACCCCCAAACGTAACCACACTGAACACGATTTCATAAAAGGATGGTTTGTCTAATTGCAGTATCCTAGGTCAATGTTGACGTTGTGTTCAATCTTTGTATAAAACTCGGCTGAGGTTGTGGTGGTAATTTAAAATCGTGATTCCTGATTATTCTTGATCTTCTTTTTATGACATCAATATTTCCGGGCCTAATCCAAACAAAGTTAAAGCAGACAAACATTAATTGTAAACAAAAAGCTACCATGAAGAATTCAAACATGTAAACATTGTTATTCTTTCCTCGAAAAAATAGTAAAATAATTTGCATTTATCCTTTTTTATTAAGACTCATGTACAGAGCCTCGATTTGTACTGTGGTTTAATTAATTTTGGTCTAAACTATTTTAAACTGTGGTCTAATTATCTCTACTAATCTTACTTATTGCCTATAATCAATGACAAAATAAGAGTAAATAAAATAACCTCATAGTTCCATAGTTTATATTTAACCAGCTGTTAGTTAAAACAAATTATATTGCTCTAAAACAAATCAACAAATCGGAGATTACAAAGATTGCTTTAAAAAAATAATTTGAACATCCAATGATTTTACTATGTATAATTTAATTAATCTGTCATCCTCTTACAGAAGAATTGAACGTATCAATGATTTGCATTACACATAGTATAAATAAGTCAACCCTAAGTATGTCTTTACATTTTTATCCCAATGCTGAATTTGTGACACAAAAGCTGAATGTTTACAACTGTTATGTTAGGCAAATTATTTTATGCCAAAAGCTAGTTTAGAATCTTAGCGTCAGCTGCTAGACTTTTTAAAAATTAAAACTTAATTTCTAAAAAACTGGGACCCTAAACTAAATTTATGGCTTCGACATTCCCTAGTTCTCAAAATTATCTTTCTTTCAACACAAAAATCATGAAAATCCGTCGAGTGGTTGATTCAGAATCGTGAAATAAAAAACACTGTTTCGTTTTAATATTATAGATGGTACAGATTAAGCACATAACATTAGAATGAGAATCACACACTTAACATAAGGAACACACTTTAAACCCAAATGCAAATTGTTAACAACATCTATAATATTAAAACGTAACAGGGTTTTTTTATTTCACGATTCTGAATCAACCACTTGACGGATTTTCATGATTTTTGTGTTGAAAGAAAGATAATTTTGAGAACTAGGGAATGTCGAAGCCATAATTTTAGTTTAGGGTCCCAGTTATTTAGAAATTAACTTAATTTTTGAAAAGTCTAGCAGCCGACGCTAAGATTCTAAACTAGCTTTTGGTATAATATAATTTGCTTAACATAACAGCTGTAAACATTCAGCGATTGTAACACAAATTCAGCATTTGGAACAAATTAAAAGACATACTAAGGGTTGACTTATTTATACTATGTGTAATGCTATTCATTGATACGTTCAATCCTTCGATAAGAGGATGACGGATTAATCTTCGGTTTGTTTTAGTGCAATATAATTTGTTTTAACTAACAGCTGGTTAATTATAAAAATGCCCTATAGAACTATGAGGTTATTTACTCTGATTTTGTCATTGATTATAGGAAATAAGTAAGATTAGTAGACCACCGAGATAAGTAACACTATCGATGTGTACAAGTCGAGGCTCTGTACACGAGTTAAAAAAGATATGCAAATTATTTTACTGCTCAACTTTTATGAAAAGGGTAGGAAAATCACAATTTTTACATGTTTTAATTCATCTTGGCAGCTTTTTGTTTACAATCAATGTTTTTGAATGCTTGAACTTTGTTTGGATTAGGCCCAGAAATATTGATGTCATAACAGATATAAATAGAATTTTCAAA